TATTCTACATAACTTAAATGTTAAATACGATGGGTTAATATAGTTCGCATAAACATTTGTGTCTTTTTAAGTATAAACCTAATCTTGTTTTACTGTTTTAGTTATCTAAAAGAACTTCACCCGAGCATATACTGTGTTGCCCGCTGATTTATAAATTTTTATTTATTTTTATATATATGATCGGCATATGGTGAATAAGCAAGCATATTAATAAGGATTTGGTATAGATCTACAAGCACAATGTCTAAAATAGAAATTTAGTTTCTAATTGACGGTTTGGTTGCCTCGACTTTTATTCTCATTTTCGTTGATAACATTACTGTCAACGAGAATCAGTAAAGGAAAAAAAAACCATTTGTCAGATTTCACTACTTTTTTTTTCATATAATTTTACATTTACGTTATCGTTATTGGCTAATTTACTAGAATCTAAATGAAATTTACTCTCGAGTTTTTGAGATCTACAGAATTCAATCGCGTGTTTACTTAATCCAATTTCACTCTTCTAAATACGAATATGTCATCAATTTTTGGGAAAAAGAAAAAACATCCAAAGCAAACTGTGAACGTTAACAATTCACATGCTCAAGCTAGGCCACATATTCATTCGCCAGGTAATTCTGGTTTTTCTGGTAATGGTCAAGAACAATTCTTTCAGCATTGCGATCAACTTCCAATTTTTTTAACTAATATTTTTCAGATACTTCAGGATACCATTCAAGAAACCATTCGCTAGATAATGGTTCTCAATCTTCCTATAGTTTTCAAGACAATGCTCCATCATCGTCATCAACACGACATTCAGATACTTCCTCTATAAGGAACTCTGTTGTTTTTTCTCCAGGTGACTGGTTAAGTTATTATAAAGAAAATTTTGGTGGAAATAAGGAACCTCCCAGGCCTTCCGATGATGAAATTGAAAATCTGTTTTTAGATTTAATGGTATGAGTTTATTACAATATATTCGTATCTTTAATTATATTAATTATTCATTTCTTTCTAAATAGAATAAAAGAGATTTAAATAAACTCTCGGATTCTCAGAGAAAACTAATTCCAGTAGATCAAAAATGGGTTCTTGTAAAAAATGACATGTTACAAGAAGAGGTATTTTTTTTTTTTTTTTGATTCATTTATTATTGTTATTTATTATTTATTGTATTATATACTATTTTATTCTTTTTTTCCTTGCATAGAAATCATTGTCAAATCCGACAAATATAGTAGCATCCGCACATGACAAAAATACACCCGAATATTATCTCAAAAAAATTTTGGATCGTTCGATTACTGTCGAAGATCTAAATTCTCTTGGTGTTTCTCTAAGGACCTTAACGATAAAGTGCGTAGTAACTTATTATATGTTTATTAAATAAATTATAAGTTAACCATTCGGATTATTCTTAGATGGGTGAGGTCGTTTATTGACGCTAAGGGTT